ATTATAGTCCCCCCCCCCCCCCCACACACACACACACACACTCTGCTGGTGAGGTGAGGTCGATTTGCCAGTCTTGGGCTCCATGCCATGTCGGACCCTCACCTAACCAGCAGTGTGTGTGTGTGTGTGTGTGTGTGTGTGTGTGTGTGTGTGTGTGTGTGTGTGTGTGTGTGTGTGTGTGTGTGTGTGTGTGTGTGTGTGCGTGTGTGTATTAGGGGAAAAAACACTTCTTGTTTTGTTTTTTTTCATGGGAAGGCACAGCAATTTGGGGCCAAATTAGGCGGGAAGAAATCAGGGAGGCGGTTGGAGGACTGTGAAAGATCAAGGGCCCCAGGTCCTTAGGCCCGCCCCTTTCCACCTGTGTGTGTGTGTGTGTGTGCGTGTGCATGTGCGTGTGCGTGCGTGTGTGTGTGTCGGCTGGGTTGCCAGGGGCAACATCTGCTGAACAGGCCCAGTGACCTCAGCAAGGGCAGTCTCTGTCTCTCCTGTTTTGATCTTTGATCGTTCAAGACGGATGATTTGGTTCAATACCAAACCCCAACACCCATTGGTCGGTACGGGGGGGATAACACACCAGCACCCACAATGCCGCCTGTCGTGGTGGTGATTCGAATCAAGCATCTGTGCCTATGGGGTTGTGTTTGTTTTTTCTTTTCTTTTTTTTTAAAGCATGTAGTGTTTTCAGTGAATTATTGTTCTGTTACACAAGGTGGTAGTGATTACAAGCGAAGGTCCTAATACGACATGAATAGTGTAGTGTTCTCGAAAAAACCCTCAATTACATCAGCATACGATTAGGCAAGGCTTATCCAGGCAGCGCTGAATACCACCGCGCTAACCGTGTTAAACTAAAACCACCTCCCCTGCGTCCTCATCCAGCAGACCCACTTTTTCACTCCCCGCACACTTTTACCCACAAATCTTGTAATGAGGGAAACATTGTTCCCATTGTCCTTTGTTCCAAAACATGTTAATATTTTAAAAGCACCAGATGGTGGTATAATATATATATTTTTTACTTTTTCAGTTGATGGTTAAATACACCTGCATAGACAGACGGCACGTTTAAAGCATATTTTTTGGCTGATATCAACTCGCTATCTGTACTCAAGATCTGGCTTAATAAATAATACCCCAAGGGTTTTTTCATGGATAATTAAGTTCACATTATGACTATTATGACTATGATGATGATGATGATGATGATGTCATTATCATTATTACTACCATCATCATTACAGTAATTTGCATAATTATTACGAATGGTCGCTTATCTTCTCATAGATGCAATGGCCATTTCTTCCCTGGGTCACTGGTGAAATGTTTATTCGTTTCCGCTGGCAACTATATGTCTTTATTATCACTATTATTTTGCCTGCTCTTTATCACAAAAGAGCAGGCAAAATATCATTAAATATATCGACATCCTGAGGTTATGAATGGCTGGTTTTAGGGTTGGGCTTAATTCAGCCTGAGCTTGCGGTGTTGGTGTTGTTGTTGTTGTTGTTGACTTGGACGTAGAATAAAAGCAGTTGACCAGATGAGAAGAGTTAAATGTGGAGAGTGCCTCTGGTTACAAATCTCTTCCTGGTTTACTTTCCCAGGCCGGGGCCACTGTCTGAATGTGTCACCTCCACGGTAACCATGACGACACGAGGACGAGAAGTGTGTGTGTGTGTGTGTGTGTGTGTGTGTGTGTGTGTGTGTGTGTGTGTGTGTGTGTGTGTGTGGCTCTGATTACTTGTGTTGTGTGGGTGTATCCCCTACTGTGTGATTTGTGAGTGTTGTCCACGCATTTGTTTTGTGTGTGTGTGTGTGTGTGTGTGTGTGTGTGTGTGTGTGCAAACTTGTGTATCTCTTTCACACACACACACACACACACACACACACACACACACACACATGCTGTGGCTGCACAGATGTGTGTTCCAGGAGCTCCAGCACAGAGGAGCTAAGAATAGAGATCTGGAGTCATCTCAGCCCGGAGCCGGGCTTACGTGAGGACCATGGCTGCATCTGAAATTCCATACTAAAATGCTATTAGTATGCTATTTAGTATGCTATTTAGTATGCTATTTAGTATGCAATGCAGTAGTGACGACAACAAAATGACGAACAGCAACCAAGGCAGCTCTGGCATAGCGCTTCAATTGTATACGTTTTCACTTTGCTAGGCAACCGGCCAGAAGGAAGTGACATGACTATAACAGGCTGAGTAGTATGTCCGAAAACATACATATTACTGTTTATTCAAACAAAAGTATGTTAAACGATAGTACATATATTGGGTATGTAGTGCATAGTATGCGATTTTGGACGCGGCCCATGACTCCCTGTCCCGTAGAGGAGATTATCTACAAATATGATGCAACCAAGTATGGATTATGGGCTTGTCTTTTGGGGGGTTTGTTGGTAATGCAGCATGAAATCAGGACCATTTTCTTAAGTTGTAATGGCAGTTGGAAGAGAATCCTTTCAGTCCTTTTGATTATTTCCTCCACAGAGGACTGATAGTAAAACTTAGTTTTGGGTGATGAATAAAAACGTTGAGATTGAGATGAACTGGTGTATAGAGACATGCGTAGAGAGTACCTTACTGAGGGGCATTGCTAAGGCCAACTCTCAACTCCTGAGTGGTTCTGATTCTGGAATATGACTTTCCACTAAATTACAAAGTTATTTAATATTACTCATTATCGTTATTTATTCATTTAGCAGATGCTTTTATCAAAAGCAACTTTATAATAGACAGATATAATGCATTGACATAATGGATTGAACCCAGTAACATTCAGCTGGCAGTCAAATGCCCCTAACCATGACAACGCTGTCCTGCCCCCCTCCACTATTTATACAAGTATCAAACAGTTAATAATACCATTCGCCGGTGTATTTTGGCCGTATCTCATCTGCCCAGCGGCCACCACACCTAGCCATGTGATGACCACATGAGAACTAACACTTGGCCCACGAAGACAGAGTGTGAATCCCTCCACCATTCAAACTCTGTTCTAACCGATTTGTTGTCTGTTTAATCACAGCAGAATAAATAATAACATTGAATTAATGTCTTATATTTATGCGCCACGAATGAGAATACGATTCAATACGATTGAATACGGCTCATTAACCGTTCGCCTCTGGCCTCCGCCACCTCTTCTCCGCCTGTGCTCCTCCTGCCCCTCTGACAAGTGAAATTCAGCAGGGGTTTGCTGTGTAATGTTGTGCTCGGCCGTCCACCAGACACGGCAAATTGAATCTCACTTTTTTTTTTTCTTCTCCATCTCCCCACAGTCAGCAGGCAGCCTGTTTTGAGTCCCCCCCCCCCCCCCCCCCCCCCCTCTGTAAATCCCCCTGCAATCGGTGTCAGTGGCTATTGTTTAAAACAACCATGATGGATAACAAATAGCCTTGGAGCCCAAAGCGCACGCCGTGCGAATTTGTAGCGCGGTCCAAAAAAGAATCGTCATTCTGGGATCACATTGTTTTTAAAGGGAGCAACGCACACTGGTATGCATCTGTCCCGACACGTGTGCTTTTGGCTTAGCAGCCCCCCCCCCCCCACCCCAACTGTGAAAGGCCTGATGTCACTTCCTGTTTAATATCGCTGCATGTGATCTTCTGCTGGTGTATGCAGAGGGGGAAAAAGGGTGAATACTCGTTTTGCTTTTACATGGACGTGCCGTATGGACTGGCATATTTCTGTTATTTATTAATTTTTGGCGGTTTGCTCTAATAATACTTTGTTTTGGGTTCACTTTAAATCCACCGTGTAAAACTCAAACACAACACAAACAAAACATAATGTCCCACGGCTCCTTGTTCACCTAAACGGAGAAGACCCTCGTGAAGCTGTTTCCTTTGAGTTGGGTTAAAAAACGACATTAACCTCGGTGGATTTCCAGACTTTCCCGTCCAAATCACTTGTGGGAAAATCACAGGCGTGCTCCTGCTGCAGTTGAAACTTCAGTCGGGAGAAAATAAATTGCATTCCAATTGTAGTCCTCTGTAATCCCTTTGTATTACAACCCAAAAAAATACAATTCCCACAGAGTGCATGGCTGTCCCCTCCTTTTGTGGACCTCTGGGAGCCTGATGAAGTCATTATCTAGCCGGGCCCTGGGCTGTCACAAGGCCCTTTCTACCCCCGGAGGCCGCAGACTGGGGATAATTCAATTTGCTCTTACCGCTAGTCCCTTCCTGCTAATATTGACTCGCTGGCTTTCTGTCTCTCTTGCTGTCTCTCTCTCTACCTCTTTATAGCTCTGTCTGTCACTGTCATGGCCGTGTTTAAGTCTAAGTCTCCCACCCTCTCCTTCTGCCTCCATCTCCCCATCCATCTCTCTCTCTCTCTCTCGATGTCTATTTTTTTGTCTCTTTTCTGCTTTAAATCTGCTGATTGTTACACGAATGACATGCTATAAAGTTTTGGTACATGTTTGCGTGTGTCTTGACTTCTAAGATTGATTGACACACGCGCAGACACACACACACACACACACACACACACACACACACACACACACCAATCATTCCCAAGGATGATGAATCCAACCCTGTCTTTGTGTTGCATTTCTGTTTTTCTACCACAGGCAGAATTCTCTGAAGTGAACCTGGCCTCCTACGTCTCCACCGGCTGCATGGTGGACATGCAGGTCACCAGAGGAACCACCAAAGTGGTCAGGTAAGAGAGAGAGTGTTGTTGATTATACAGCAGGGGTCCTAATGAAATGAAAGATGACCAGGGCTCTCTAAAGAACATGGGTGAATGGGGTTGTGAGAGAGGGTGGGGGAGAGAGAGAGGGAGAGGGAGAGAGAGTTGAGATTCGGTTTGAGGGGCCAAATGTTAGCTATACGTGAGGATTACCACTTACTGACTTTATGTAATAAAAAGGTTAACCTTCATGTTTCGCGCCACAATTGGTCGATTAAATCAACTTCAATGAATGTTAAATCAGTGTAGAGTGTAGTAGAGTGTCGTGTCGTAATCTTTAGTATCTGAGGAGGTAGTCTAGTTGTCAGGGTGCTTGACTCACAGCCGAAAGGTTCTGGGTTCGATCCCCAATGTCCTCAGCTTACCTGTAACGTCTGCTGAATAGTGGTAATGGAAACTATATTTGTATGGAAAATGGCCTCCAGTTTAAAAATCCCCAGCCATATCACATGCACAGATGGGGAGCCACGGGCAGACCAGTAATGAAGCACAGATTACACTGCAACCTGTTTTGCACGCCAACACTGAGATTATTGTGCGGGCCAAATATTTTTTTCGGGGCGATATTTGCCATTCAGACCGAGTGGGCAAAATTGAATACAGATGGTGCGATTACTCCGGCGTAGCATAGCCCTAAGAAAACAGAGGCTGGTATTCTTTACTTCTGAGCTTGTTGTTGATTAGGTCTCCTGTTGGACGACCGCGTCGCACAGAGGTGGCTGGTGGTAAACCCGCCGCAGTGATTGGATTAAAAGGTTTCGGATCATCTGTGCTTTTCGCTCCAACGCAAAGCGGTTATTTGTGGTTCTAGCTAGAGATGTGTTCTGCTTTGTCTCCGTTTGTTTTGATGGTACGCCTACGTACACGTAGCGCCATGCTATATCCGTAGCCACATGAAACATTACATATTAAACGCCATTATTCCTAGTCTAGGAGGACATTCTTTTGATTAAATGCGCTTTTATTTTCATATGATTTTGTCCACCCTGTCCCCAGGGATGGACAGTTCTAGAAGTAACTGGCCAGGTGCTCTTGAGCCAAGCTCTCCCAAATGGGAAGATCTGCTGTCGACCAGTTTGACGAAAATTCCTATTTATTCCTATTCCTATTTATTTAATCTCATAGGCTGGACATTATTTACCTTTTTATGGTGTGGTGGGTCACCTAAGCTGGCTGGTAGGTCGCCTTAGCGGGATCTCGCTGGGTTACTGTGGCCAAGTTACCCTAGCAGGACGTTCGGCTGACGTTCGGCTGTAGCGTAGGATGAACACAGTATTAAAACACTACATCCAGTATACGAGCGCATAGCCGGTTCAAGTACAACGAGAGGTCATACTCGGGGGGTGGGGGTCACTGCGACACATCTGTCCCAGCGGTGCTTTTATACGGCAGGACCACAGCAGGCCATTTTATCAGCATGAGCGCGCTTAAGTCAGCCGAGATAAACGCAGACACAAGCCACCCCGCAATACTGATTCCAACGGTGCGCTCCAGAAGGTCGGTCGGTCGGTCGGTCTCGCTCTCTCTCTCTCTCTCTCTCTCTCTCTCCCCCCCCCCCCCCCCCTCTCTCATCTTTGGCTTCTCCATCGCGCCGTGCTATCGCGGGCCCGGCCCACCGAACATCTGTCTAATGTAAAACAGGACGGCTGGACCGACTAAAAAGGGGGGGGGGGGTCATTATAGCAGCCAAGCACGATTAGCCATAGAGGCAATCCAACTCTCCCCCTGCACCCCACCCCCCCCCCACCCCCCACCCCCACCCCTTTCCCACTCAAGGTTAATAAAAAACCGTCTGATTGATGCATGGTGATAACCGGTGCGAAAGGGGGCCAGAGCGGTTTCTCCTGATGTGCCCCATGTGAAAGTCAGTAGCCCTTATAAAATGTGATTAACAGGATCTTTGTTCTTACTGTGGAGATTGTAAGTAGGGCTGTGTGATTGTAAGTAAGCGCTGTGTGATTGTAAGTAGCGCTGTGTGATTGTAAGTAGGGCTGTGAGAATGTAAGTAGGGCTGTGTGATTGTAAGTAGGGCTGTGAGATTGTAAGTAGGGCTATGAGATTGTAAGTAGGGCTGTGTGATTGTAAGTAAGCGCTGTGTGATTGTAAGTAGCGCTGTGTGATTGTAAGTAGGGCTGTGAGATTGTAAGTAGGGCTGTGTGATTGTAAGTAGGGCTGTGTGATTTTAAGTAGGGCTGTGAGATTGTCAGTAGGGCTGTGAGATTGTAAGCAGGGCTGTGTGATTGTAAGTAGGGCTGTGAGATTGTAAGCAGGGATGTGAGATTGTAAGCAGGGATGTGTGATTGTAAGCAGGGCTGTGAGATTGTAAGCAGGGATGTGAGATTGTAAGTAGGGTTGTGTGATTGTAAGAAGGGCTGTGAGATTGTAAGCAGGGCTGTCAGATTGTAAGCAGGGATGTGAGATTGTAAGCAGGGATGTCAGATTGTAAGTAGGGATGTGAGATTGTAAGCAGGGATGTCAGATTGTAAGAAGGGCTGTGAGATTGTAAGCAGGGATGTCAGATTGTAAGTAGGGATGTGAGATTGTGGCACTTACAGTACTGTACATATATGTACAGTTACAATCCAGTTTGACGGACAATCTGGATTGTAACTGTACATATTTTCTACTGTACCAACTGTACCATTTTGCAGACACGAAGCGACTTAAAGTGAATCATGTTTGCTTCTGTTGATGCATGTCATTAAGGAGAAGTTAGGGTTAGGCATCTTGCTTATGGATACCTACAGGTTAGACGGGTTAGAACCCACAACCTTTAGTCCAGTAGCCGAGGGTAGTTTGTGGTGAGTATTATGTTTAGTTATTTGTTGTCATTAAATATCGTCAATATTAAAACAGCCTGTCAGCCAAATAACTTTATGGCCAGGGTAAATGTTTCTAGGTTTACTAGCCTACACATCAAGTAGTATCTAGTATTTAGTATCTAGTATCTAGTATCTAGTATTTAGTATCTAGTATCTAGTATCTAGGGTTAATCTAAGATTAGTGTCTGAGGAGTCAGTGGTGGAATGTAACTAAGTACATTTACTCAAGTCCAAATTTGAGGTACTTTACTTGAGTATTTATATTTTCTGCTACCTTATACTTCTACTCCACTACATCTCAGAGACAAATATTGTACTTTTTACTCCACTACATGTATCTGACAATCAATAAATCAATAAATAAATTATATTATTATATCAATAAGGCTTTATTCGTTCCCAAGAGGGAACGAAATGAGCCCCACCTTTACCAGCTTCAACATTAAAGTGATGAACACATTAATGCATCAATAAATATAATCCCATAATATAATGTATATTTAATTCTGAAATGGGCCATTCTGCATAATCAGTAATTTTACTGTTGGTGCTTTAAGCGTATTTTGATGCTAATACTTTTTGTACTTTCACTTAAGTTACATTTTCACTGCAGGACTTCAGTGCTTCAGAGTACTTCTTCCACCACAGCTGTTGGAGTGTTTTGAGTGATCAGTAAATGTCCCCACTATGAAAACATGTGAAAGTGATGTGTGTGAGGGTGCCATGGTGAACTGGAGCTCTGTTCAGCCCCTTGCATTCCTCCCCATCGTAAGACCTGTGGACCAGCAGGTCGCATGGAGGGAGATTGCATTAGCAGATCCTTGTCTGATTTTTCACTTTTTAGTGTTTGGTTTGTTTAATATGCCCTCCGGTGAGCTACTGGTGTTCCCATCCAGAAACACATGAGTAGATCCATTATCTGTGGTTAGCAGAGGTGACAGGTTACACCCAGACCACACACACACACACAAGCGTAGGAACGCACGCACACACACACACACACACACACACACACACACACACACACACACACACACACACACACACACACACACACACACACCCCTTGAATCCTGAGACCCCACTTTATTAAGGAGAGTACCTTTCAGCCACCTAATACCGCAGACAGGCTGGTCTCATTCCAGAGAGCAGACAGACAGACAGGCAGGAAGACGGATCTGGTCTGAGCTGTTCCAAGGAAAGTTCAGGAGTTGAGGAATATGCCACCATCACCATCACCAGAATACAAATAGCACTTGGTTTGGTACACGATTGTTCCCTATGCTTACCTGGTATGGCTTTTAAACTCGTCTCCAAGCCTGTATCCATGTCAACCGTGTTCAGAGTACAATCACCCTTAGCTGCTAAACGTTCTCTAATTCCTTGTTAGGTTGTGGTGTCGAGTACACCCTGTACTGTGTGTGTGTGCATGTGTGTACTGTAATTTCCCCTTGTTTACTTTGAATTATGTTACATTCCTACACTTATGAGCCAGCCCTGGCGAATTGCTGCAGTTATTTCGGTCTGCTCTGTTCCTTGGTGTGCCTGGCGTGGTTCTCAGCGCGTGTGTGTGCGTGCGTGTGTGTGGATGTGTGTGTGGATGTGATTAAGCCTGGAGGCAGGCCTGGGGCCATGTTCCCTCTTGGCAGCCCAGACCAGGGCACCGCCCTGGGTGTGAGCTCTGCAGCAAGACCCCTCTGCTGGCCCTGGGAGCGCTCACAGCCACCAGTGGAACCGCTGTGATGAATGCACTGCAGGGACCGTCCATCTGTCTCTTGTCATTTCATACAGTGATAGATCTGTGAGACTTAATTATTCATAAAGCAATTATTGAATTATTAATTTAATTTTGGATCACGTTCTGTTTTGGGGTGTTTTCGTTTTTTGCTCTCCAGGAAGTTCCTGGAAATTTGAAACAGCTGGAAGGGAGGGATAGGAAATGTAGCAAAGGAAAGAAGAGGGGAAGGAAAGAAATAGAGAAAATTCCCCCAAGACGCAGGCTAGCCCTCCTCTCTCTCTCTGTCTGGTTAGCCAACGAAGGCACAATGCGGCATTGTCTGTACGTCGCTGGCTGGACCTTGGTATGCGCTAGCTCATATCTGTGGCATTCCCAGTCGGAGGACTGCCCTGATTGTCCTTATCAAAAGTGAGACAGACTGATTGGAGGAAGGATAGCTGCATAGCGGGCCGGCTTCCAGTCGGGGATCGAGCCCAGCAACAAGGCCATTACGAGGGCGAACGATCCCAGCGATGCATCCCACCCCAGTGTACTCTATTAGAAGGTTGGGGTCAGAGGTCATGCCAGATAAATGGATCCCAGAGAACAAAATGGCAGCAGCTCATCACTGTGTTTGCGTCTGAATGGATCCTCTGCCCTAGGAATGTGGCTACATCTGGGGAAGACAAATTGTTGACAGAGCAGAGCGTTTACGATGTGAACTGCTGTAATGCGGGTGAACTTGAGGTCGGAACAGGACGCGGCAACGTCGTGTCGATGTGTTGCGGTTCAAGTCCACCGTCGACTTTGAAGAAACACT